AAACCCCTTATGAACTTTATTATGGAAAAACTCCTTTCATTGGTTATTTTCGTGTCTTTGGTTGCAAATTCTTTATTTTAAATTCAAAAGATCACCATGATAAATTTGATTCCAAAATTGATGTTAGTATTTTCTTGGGTTATGCACCTCGAAGTAAGGCTTATAGGGTCTTCAATAAACGAAGTCTCGTTGTTATTTTAAATTCAAAAGATCACCATGATAAATTTGATTCCAAAATTGATGTTAGTATTTTCTTGGGTTATGCACCTCGAAGTAAGGCTTATAGGGTCTTCAATAAACGAAGTCTCGTTGTTGAAGAATCTATAAACGTTACTTTTGATGAGACTAATGTTGGTTCTCAAGTTGTTTTACCTAGGAAAGATGATGATGATGATGTTGAGGGAGGATTGGACTTCTTAATTCACATCAAACCATCCAAAGGAACAAATCATTGGGAGCCCTTCAAAAGGAGTTATAACTCGCTCAAAAGCCTTGAGTGAATGTGGTAATATTGCATTTCTATCTCAACTAGAACCTAAAAAGGTTAATGATGCTTTAAATGATGAGTTTTGGGTTTTGGCTATGCATGAAGAATTAAACAATTTTCAAAGAAATGAAGTTTGGAAGTTAGTTCCTAGACCTAACAATGCTAGTGTTATTGGTACAAAATGGGTTTTTAGAAACAAACTTGATGAACATGGCATTGTAACTAGAAATAAAGCTCGTTTGGTTGCCCAAGGATACAATCAAGAGGAGGGCATAGACTATGATGAAACATTTGCACCGGTTGCAAGGTTGGAATCTATTAGGATGTTTTTGGCATTTGCTAGCTTTAAAAATTTTAAATTATTTCGAATGGATGTTAAAAGTGCCTTCTTAAATGGTTTTATAGAAGAGGAAGTGTATGTTGAGCAACCCCCCGGTTTTATAGATCATGCTTTTCCTAATCATGTTTACCGGGTACAAAAAGCTTTATATGGGTTGAAACAAGCTCCTAGAGCTTGGTATGCTCGCCTCTCTAGTTTTCTTATTGAAAATGGTTTTTCAAAAGGAACAATTGATAACACACTTTTTGTGAGAAAAAGGAAAAATGATTTCATTTTAGTTCAAATATATGTGGATGACATCATTTTCGGTGCTACTAATGAATCCTTGTGCAAGGAATTTTCTAAAGTAATGCAGGATCACTTTGAGATGAGTATGATGGGAGAGCTTACATTCTTTCTCGGGCTCCAAGTCAAGCAAACTAAGGATGGGATCTTCATTTCACAAAGCAAGTATGCGAAGGAATTGGTGAAGAAATTCAAGTTGGAGAATTCTAAGCATGCGCCTACTCCCATGAGTACTAGTGTTAAGCTTGATGCGGATGAGAGTGGTGAAGATGTGGACCAAAAACTATACCGAGGTATGATAGGTAGTCTTCTTTATCTCACCGCTAGTAGACCCGACATCATGTTTAGTGTATGTGCATGTGCACGTTTTCAAGCTTCTCCAAAAGCATCTCATTTAATTGCGGTTAAAAGGATCATTAAGTATGTTAATGGAACTTTTAACCTTGGTTTGTTTTATCCAAAAAGCACCACTTTTGATTTATATGGTTTTTGTGATGCCGACTTTGCCGGATGTAAGGTAGATCGCAAGAGTACTAGTGGAACATGCCAATTCTTAGGAAATTCCCTTGTTTCTTGGGCTTCCAAGAAACAAAATTGTGTTGCATTGTCCACTACGGAAGCGGAATACATTGCCGCCGGCTTATGTTGTGCTCAAGTTTTATGGATGAAACAAAGTTTAGTTGACTATGATTTGAATTTTCAAAATATTAAAATCTTTTGTGATAACACAAGTGCTATAAATATTTCCAAAAATTCGGTTTTGCATTCTAGAACTAAACATATTGATGTACGCCATCATTTCTTACGCGATCATGTAGAGCGACAAGATGTATCCCTAGTATTTGTTGACACCAAATCTCAACTAGCGGATATATTTACTAAGCCTCTTGGAGAGGATGATTTTTGTCGCATAAGAAATGGTTTGGGCTTATGCACTATGTGAAAGTTCTACATTGCTTGCTTGTTTAGTTGCATCTTGCATTTTGCATTTCTTTCCCCATTTTTGATGGTGACAAAGGGGGAGAGAAATCTCCTCATTTGTTGCATATATTTAGGGGGAGCTCATAGATAGGGGGAGCACCTATCTATAAGCTATTTTATTTTTGCTCTTATATAATGGTTGGTTGTCATCATCAAAAAGGGGGAGATTGTTAGCCCTTATGTTTTGATGATGTTCTTACAACCACCATTATCGGTACTAATGGCTTATTGAGTATAAATGTAGTAAATTCATTTGTCAAGCTCGTTAGTGCCATTAATGGAGGATGGATGGAATATATGCTACAACGAAGATATCCAAAGGAGGAGGAGGCCAAGAGATGAAGCAACGTTATTTCAAGAACGACAAATTCGAATAAAAGCTTCATCCGATTCAAGCTATATCAAAGCTCAAGTATATTGCTCTCTATATGAGGATATTAGCTTTCTTTTGTTTTTCTCTCTAGTGCTAGAATGTAGGCAAAGAGTTACTGAGTTTACTTGAAGCTATTGGGAATCACACACACGTTTTTAAACTTGTGCTTTTAAGCGTTTTTCACAAAATACTATTTTTCACAAGTTTGAGTACCTATCTGCAAAATTCTTTTTCCAAGCAGTTTGTTTTTAGTATTAAAAACATTTTACAAAGTTTCAGAATTTTCAGAGGTCAAATGAATATTTTGGAAATATTTCAACTTGGTCAAATAACCTGATTTCAGAATATGTCAGAAATCGGTCGACCGGTCCGGTCGACCGATCTGATGACCTTTCTTCACTATGTCTCCAGAGTGTCGTCGGTCGACCGATACGGTCGACCGAATTTCTCAACCCTTAATCGGTCGACCGTGCCGGTCGACCGATGAGTCTCTGGATGTTTTGTCAAAACTCCTTAGCTGCTGGCGGTCGACCGATTTTTTCGGTCGGTCGACCGAAGGTATTTTTCGGTCGACCGATATTTTCTTCGGTCAACCGATTTTTGCCTCTGTTCAGCCGCGACTTTTTTAAAACGGTCGTTTGCCTCGAACCCTGTGCTTTCACTTGTTAGTGATTGGCACAGTCTGTGATGAGGGTCTGAAGAAGAGATTATTATCTCATTTGGGTAGATTTGTTTTTGTTTTAAAATGATTTAAACTCTCCTATAAAATCCCCAGACCTCTTCTTCTTCCTCTAAGCCCTAACGTTTGAAAACCAGAGAGCTTTTTCTGTTTCCTGAGAAAATTTTCAAAACTCTGTTTTTCTCTCTGTTTCAAGTGTGATTCACCTCCCAGCTTCAGTATACCTTCTCTTTGCTATAAGGGCTGTGTAAAGAGAGGTTCTTGCATTTCTTTCTTCTGCTGTGTGAGTGAGATCTGTGGAGATCTACTGTGAGGGAGTGTGATCTGTGAGATCAAACTGTGTAGTGAGAGAGAGATCTTGTGGGATCGCTGTGTAGACGAAGTTCCGGCTTCCAAACCGGATGTGTTAGTGGATTTCTCCTCGAGAGTGGGGAGCGGGGACGTAGGTCAGCGGGCCGAACCTCGTTAACACATCGCGCGTCAAGGATAACGATTCCTAACTCTATCTCTTTCTATTTGATTGCACTTCTGTTTTGTGGTTTGCTTGTGCTGAGTTTTAAATTGCATATTAGAGCCTCTTGACCCTAATCACCCCCCCTCTAGGGTCCAACAATTGGTATCAGAGCTTGGTCTCTATATCAGTTTTTGGTTTAACAACCTTAGAGAAAAGATCTAATGGAGGCCTCTTTGAATATGCATATGCTAGAAGGACAATCCACAACTAGACCACCTCTCTTCACCGGCACTAATTTTGCTTATTGGAAGGCTAGGATGAGAATTTACCTTCGTTGCATAGACCTTGACATTCTAGAGCTCATAGAAGAGAAATATGAAGAAAAGTCCAAAGTCGGG